AGTACCTAAGCATAAATGCTGCCTACAGATCTAATACAAAGACAATAAACGCACATCACATACATAAAATAACAGCAAAAGGGTTAGATAGGCAGTGATAATGTGTAAGAAAAACCTGAAATCATTTGATCTTGGGCAACAAGTTCATCGGAACGTTCTCAGTGACCCTTTCAAATAAAGCGCCACAGTAGAGTCACATGATATCTTATAACGACGTAAATATTGTTTCAGTGATGTAATGTGCCGTCCATTGATAGTGGCATGCTATGTGCTCATGCTGTGTTAATCCGTACGATGACATGCATTACGCAAGTATTCCCTATGCAATGAATAGAAATGAAATCTGAGACGAGCACTTTGAAAGTGCTGCTTCACGCCGGTAACTAAGCCGTGTAGCTCGTCATGTTTCGAATTCCAAATTACCGCTGTGTTTCTTGATTACAGACTCATTTGCACAGGCTAAGCCTCGAGTTTGTGCAGAATATTCACGTGTTCCAGTCAAGGTCCGTCGAGTTTCAAAGTGTTTGTATTGTTGAAGTTGTGCATTCTTTACTTTACTGTTGCTATTTGTGAATATTTAAACACTGATGCGAGGTTAACCCTGTGTAAATGAGTCTGTAATCAAGGAACACAGCGGTAATTTGGAATTCGAAACGGGTCTATTGATCTGGGCATAGTTAATGGAGCGGAATGGTTGGGAAATCTATTGTTCTAGGTTTTTGTTCGACTTTATCCATTTTTATACAGTCCACCGGAAAAAGACATTTACACATTTACACATATACACATTTAGACTATAATAAATATCACGTGTTTCCTCGAACGTTCTGTCATAAAACAAACGCTGAAATACAATTTAGTCTCCATCTTAAATCCTCACTAAATGGTCGGGGCATTCTGGATTTTCGATTCACGAGTTGAATTTTACATTTAAATTTCAGGCTCACTTTAGTCTAAATGTCTTAATGTGTAAATGTGTAAAGGTCTTTTTTCGATGGACAACATTAATGTCATTGACTGTATGTGTGACCCTGCACAGAAAAGAAAACGTTGCTCCGTTTGTTCATAGTATCCAGGAATATAGAATTTTTTAACCCTAAAAACGTTCTAAAATATTTATTTGTTTATTAATCCTATATGATTAATACAAATTGTTTATTCTGAAAAGGAAATTACCTTTTTCATGCTTTCTTATTTATCATCTAGTAACTTAGCTGTATCTGCGCGGAAATATTTATTCGCATGGTTTGTGGTCATCGAATGAAAGTTTTCACTTTCAAAATGTTCATACGTGAAAATAATAAGGAAATGAGTATTTTTAGCCATACTTGATTTGGTTCATTGTGCACCCTCAGTATCACATGATGGTACGATTCAACATCAAGCGCAAAACAATAGCTTTGTCCTATGGAGTTTCCAAACCATTCCGCTCCATTAACTATGATCTGGGAGACGTCTTTTCATAGTCATGTTTTACGACAAAAAAAACCATTTTTACCCCCAGGAAGAACAAATCCTCGCAGGACTCGGTGCAAGGGGTATATATATCTAACCAGAAACAATAGACCAATTAAGACTGCACTGAAACTATAAGACGGATTTCTATTTTGGAATGGCATTTTACTGTCACCTTGCGTTATGACTTATAACTATATAGAAAGCCTTAATTTTCTTATGCAAACTATTTTTAATTTCAATATAAAAAACAACTGAACAGTTTTTTCCACACATGCTCTCCAAAATATATTTTATAATTACTTGCAATACAAGACCAGTCAACATACTCGGTCTTATTTCTTTTTTATATACACTCAATTGCAAAAACATTATCGGTTTCTACTATCAAAATCATAAAACATAGAGGCTGAGACTGAAAAGTCCGTGGCGGTCAAGGTCGCACCTTCGAGAGCTTCATACATGAACCCCTGGCACGGGAAAATTGAGTAGCCACTCCCTGCATTATCGAAGTAAAATAAATCACCTTTGCTTTTTACTCGTCTCAACTTGAATGCTCTACGTTTAGTTTTATAGCCGACAGTGATTTTGCGATTGATTGTACGGCAGCATGTCTCTTGCTCGTTGTTATTTCCCTTAAACAGGGCTGCCATAAAGCCACTCTCTATATATAACAAGTTAGATAAGACAGGGTTGCCTCTGACTCAACTTAGCATGCTATGTTGCTTATCACTGTTTGGCCTAATAGTAAAAACCTGGCAAAGATATTTTTCATTCATGCTAAATAATAAGCCCCATGCTAATAAGTTGGTTTGAATAAAAACAGACGGGACCCTAAAGTTTTTAATATAAGTTCTATTGGACTAAAAATAACGATGTTTTCCGCCGGACGTATCAAGTCCAAATGCTGTGGCGGAAGAGCAAAATCAAACAATTCATAGTTGTTTAAGAGATGCGAGATATTCTCAATAGTCTCACTACTACACATTGATGAGAAGTCACTGATAAGTATAGAGGCTTTTATCCATCACGTGATGGCAGCCATGTTAGATGGCAGGAACAATACAATCGTTTTACATGAGAAATAATTCAATTCCCGAGAGCAAGGGAGTTTTATTGTTCTCCCATCTAACCACGCGCAGTTCGATCCAAGCTGTATTATGGGCGCCGGCAAGTGATGGTGCAATGCCTCTTTTATCACTCAACTTGGTTCAAATTAAAAACCTGCAATTGTCAAACGTTGATCTGGCCCACTTATACTTAATAATATTTTAATACGTATCATTTTATTAATTTTACCGGCTCTTCTCTGACCTGCTATTGCTCGCTTTAGTTTCTCAATTTTCCCCACCCTTTTCTTCATTGCGCTGTTTTAATTTTTCGTAAAGCTCTGCCAGGTTTGCCGGCTCCAATTATCAAACTGGAGTATAGTAAGACCACTGATAATTGAAAAGAATACTATAAACTTACATTTCCGCTCATAACTCTATTTTCATCTAAAATGAATTACAACGATCATGCATGTCTTAGCGATGCTCGCAAACTTCAACAACATTAGTTTTCTTAAGAAACTTGGCCTGCCATCTAATCTTTATAGCATGACTAATCTACAAAACACGACAATAAATTTCTCATTTCACGAATCAGTAACGAGCAAATTGTAAACATCTCTCTCGCTCCAGTCTCTCGATGATATCACGTCCAAGAACATTCTCAATGGGACAAGTTGTGACTACGAGAAATTTTGTCGAAGGATTCTTAGAAGACTATTATTTACACAGTTTTTTAGTTCAAAAAAGATTTCGTTAGTAATTTAATTCGGTGTAGATTTTATAAGTATAGAAAGTACGTCAAGCCGGTTTTATTCGATAGTTGACCATGGCTTATCACGTACGTGCAGTGATTTTCAGTCACTCGTTTTGATTGCAGGGCCAATGCTGCAGTCCTTTGTACTAATATTTCTTTGTAAAGTAACCTCATTTCAAAACTATAACCATCTTCAAGTCTATTATTTCCAAATTAGAGTGGCTAGCTGTGTTCTCCTCTCACGACTGTCTTCAACTATACTAATATGAAAATCTTATGAACATTAACCAAAAGACTTTTACTTTATCTTCAACTCAACAACTCCAAGATCCTGGCTTTCGTTTCATCGCCTTCTCTTACTTTCCCATGACATTCGTGAACTACATACGCCCAACTCATTACATCCAGCTTGGCGCTGTGTCACCCGGTGATCCGATTACGAAAGTATATACCAAAGTATTTTCTTTGCCTTTTCCGTCTATAATAGAGTTTGTATTTCAGGACTAGACTCCATGCTTTCAAAATGCTTGTTCATAGCTTTGATGCTCTTATTAATTTTATTCCGATGTCCGATCAGCTTGATTCCGATTCTGGCGAGATCGTCCTCCCCAAGGCATTTGATGTGAGCCAAGTCCATATAGCCTGCATTAGCAAAGTTCTCGGCGTATCGAGCCATATTGATGCTGCCAAGCCACTCCTTGACTGTTGTCATCTCATCGAAATGCGTATACGTATTAGGACTGAAAATGAATATCTATTTGTTAATGATTAAGTCAACACGCACGTTTTCAGTAGAGTGCACACCATATATCCGCACAAATTTGTACAAAATAGTAAGTTCAGTAGACCTCAGTACACAGTGGACCGTCAAAACTTTGCAGTAAGAGACCAGTTTCAAATTCCAAATTACCGCTGTGCTCCTTGATTACAGACTCATTTACGCAGGGCTAGCCTCGAATCAGTGTTTAGTAGTTCCCTTCACAGTTTTCTGCGCCATATTGAAAGGTAGCCGTGCCTTTGCCTTTGAGACGAACGGTTAGCTTGCAATGATAGGGACCTTTTTTTAGCACCTTGGACAATTATTCAACGGAACTGTGAAGGGGACTATTTCCACAAATACCAACAGTAAAGTAAAGAATGCACAACTTCAACAATATAAACACTTTGAAGCGACGGATCAAGACTGGAACACGTGAATATTCTGCGCAAAATCGAGGCAAACCCTGTGTAAATGAGTCTGTGAAACACAGCGGTAATTTGGAACTCGCAACTGGTCTATTCGCGACTTTATTCTTGGTTACTTGTGGCTTTACATTCCTGTTCGTTGTTGTTGTCATCGTTTTCGTCGTTATTGTTGTTGTTGTGTTGTTATTTTTGTCGTTTTTCTGATTGTTATCTCACCTTAAACAGTGGTTGGTGTTGAATTCATGATTGATTTTCTCCGGTGATCGAATCATTTCGTCTAATCGCTGGACGATATCAGGAAACTTTGGTCTTGTGTTCTTGTCTTTATCCCAGCAATCCAGCATTAGATTGTGAATCGCTCTTGGACAATTCTAAAATACATACATAAATAAATATTTTGACGCATAAAAAGTGATGTTTGTTGTGTTTATTAATCATTCATGTTTACATCTTGAAGCCGTGTTGTAGAAATATACTGACGCCCCACCCCCACCCTTCTCCACCGTCTTCCTCTTTCTCTCTCCAAAATAAAATCTAAGACATGATTCCTATCTTACCATTGGTGCTGGTAAACGGTATCCTGACTCGACGCGATCCATCACCTAGGAAAAGTAATACAAACTCTGTTATCTTTATTGCTAGAGAAAAAATGGTGTACAAGACCACCCAGTTAACAACGAGATCTCTCCTGTCCCATATCCTCTTCCACTTTCAAAAACAATGTTGGATTCAGGAGGTGTCTCGGAGGGATTGGTCGTGTTGGTCGTAATTCAAAATGGAGCATAAGACATATAGATACTCGGGAATTTACTTGAGTAACTATGAAACAATCGTTCCAAAAAAGTCCAGGTCCGCCTTCAAGGTTCGCACATTTAGTCCGACAAACCTTAACCTGGAACCTCTCACACACACATAAAAAAAGGTTTTATATTGGGAAATAAAATTTTAAAAGTATGTACCTGATAGTTGTCCCAGTCCCAGTATGGTCGTTCACTAAATGACATTATCTCCCACATGAGAATACCAAAGCTCCAAACATCACTCGCTGAAGAAAACTTTCGGTACCGAATAGCTTCGGGTGCCGTCCAACGAACAGGAATCTTGCCACCCTTTATGATAAGATGACATTGGTAAGAAATGTATAAATAGTCTACAATATGCCTTGAAAAAATTTGGAATCAATAAGCCTCGCGATGTATTGGGTTTGCACTGATCACGCTGATAGAGAGAACTGTCAGGACACGGAACTGCTGTCAATCGAATAAATCGTTCCGATGTACCTTTTAGCGGATCCCGTGCCCCTTTACCTACAATCACGATTTATTTGATTTACGGCGTACATTGCCTAATTAACATGTCTCGATAGTTGTCTCGATAAGCCTGAAGCAATGAAAACAGTGGTTAATTTTAGCACCAACAAGGTTAGAGGCTCTTGCCACTCAAGTATCGCGGGACAACGGGAAATCTAAAAACGAAAAAAATCCAACAAATTAAATTACCTGAGTTTGATACTCCGAATCAGGGTTATCTTCAGAATCGTCCAGTTCACGTGATAAGCCAAAGTCAGCCACTTTGCTCGCCATGTTGTCTGCAACCAAGATGTTCCGTGCCGCCAGGTCCTGTACAAGAACAGATACGTGATAGTTAATAAGCCAAACTTTTATATCCTAAAATTCTGCCGGTCTTGATAACCTTTATCTTTGAGCGATAAATCTCAGCCAAGTGCAAGAATAGTCTATTTAGTGAGGTGCAAAATTAATCAGTGCGGAAGCTAGAAGTTTGACTTTAGGGGCAATATTGTGGAAGGCGATGATAATGATGATAATGGAGACAGTCATGATTAAGTTGATGATATTGATAATGATGATGGTGAGCCAAGTGAGGCCGATCGAGATTTGTTGCTAGGCTAGATGCCAAACATGTGTCCTATTTAACGGCATTGTCGATATTGTTGAATAATCTATAGAGGCCCTAAAGTAGAACAAGTTGTTGCTTACCCTGTGAATATAGCTCATTCCAGACAGGTACGCCATCCCAGCCGCTACTCCTCGTGCTATACCCAGCAACTGCAGGGTCGTCAGCTGGCCATCATGGTTCTAACGAACACGGAACCAAAATGTTAACATCAAATAATCAATTCAAATAATTAATAAGCAAATAAACATCGTCCTTGTTTTACGAGGGTAGCACTTAATAGCCAGTGGCAAGCATGTGGCCCTTGTTCCATGATCGAATTGGAATGAGAAATTGATTTTTGCGGAGGTAGGAAAACCGGAGCCCTCTGTTGGACCACTGTTTTATGTTATATATAGACCAATGTTTTTTTCATTCTCTTACCGCTAGGCATTAAGACAAGTCTCTGCGACCGCTAGGATATGATCTCTTGAGAAAAAAATCTGCCGGGGATTTTACTCTTATATTGTTTGCTTCTAACATGCATATTTTATTTCGGTGTCTTCTCGCAGCCACAAGCGATTTTCAGTCCTTTTTAAATCCTTACCCCCAAGAAATTCAAAGATTCAGGTTATTTCTGACACTTAATAACCCTTGTGCCGTCAAATGGTGGTGTTGCAGTTGGAGGTGCCGGTGGTGCAATGGATTGGTAGTGTGGGGGAGGAGGAGTTGGAGATTTAAATTCAAATTCAACTGCTTGCCCAATACTGACTAAACGTCTGAAATTACGCACCTTGAGGAAGTGGTCCAACGATCCATTGGCCATGAATTCAGTAATAATCATCATAGGTGTGTCAGGACTGCGGGTCACGACACCATTCAAGGCAATCACGTTAGGATGTTTGAATTGCCCCATGATTGAAGCCTCTAGTATGAAGTCCTCGCGGTTCTTTTGAGTAGACTTTGGCTGAAAAACAAGATCGTAACAAATTTATACGAGATAGATGTCTTTATACTCAAGGATAATACTTGCCATTGTATAGAGTTGCATTTCCTGCGCGTCCCCATGAGTTCAAAATTAAGAAAATCATGCATTTTACCTTTAAGATTTTAACAGCAACGGTTTCAGTTTTGCCATCATCGCACGTGAAAGTTCCTTTGTAGACTTCTGCGAATTCCCCTAAAAAACAACAGTATGATCATGCTTTTTGCTGGGCAAATTCAGGACACGAATACGGGCGTGTGAAGTCCACATTTCAAAGCGGAGGGATTCCCGAGGGATTCCCGGAATTCCCCCGTCAACAAAAATTAACATGTCCGCATCCGTGGAACAAGACTTAATAGCCCTTTTTACCCTAGAAAACCAAGGTATATTTATTCAAGGCCAAGTCACTCACCTCCACCAATCAGCTTCTCCAGTTTTATATTCTTTCGATCAATCTCTTCTGTCACACTCATTAGCGCCTCCATGGGGTTGCCATAGTTACTAGGATCGATGTACAGCTTGTGGCCATCGACATGCTGCATCAGTCCATCTCCTTGAGAAATAAATTTATTTCATTATTAATAAAATAGTGAATAGATATTTGATTTTCCAATTTATCATCTATGGCAAGAACCCAGAATCGTACCCAGTCTTCACTCACGCTTTTTAATGCGCGCGAAGGCTTTTCCTTCGTTCCCTTGATGTACCGGGAACTCACTAAATCCTTCCCATCAACCACAGTGTGACATCAGTGAGAGGAAAAGCGACTGGGTAAAAGTCTGGCAAGAACCGAGATGGTATGCATGACATCCGTTATTGGTGTGGGTTAGACGCTACCGAACCTTTTCCACTAACGTCCGTTAGTATGTGCCAGCAAGATGATATTTTCATTAACTCCGGCGTAAAATTGAAGTGTATTGTTACTATTTGAGATTTTGCCTGCAGGATCCTTTGAGGTACATTGCACTAATTTACAATCCCAGAGCCGTAACCAGAACTTTTACACGGAGGGTGCACATCGAATAAAATTGGACTATTGATCGGTTTTTATTAGGGAGGTGCAAAGGCAATGATTTGCAGAACCAAAAAAAAAAAAAACCAGAAAAAAAAAAAAAAAAAAAAAAAAAAAAAAAAAAGGGGGGGGGGGGGGGGAGATAGATCAGATGAGCGAACCTTAAGCTTTTATGGGGGTGCACGTGCACCCTGTGCTCCCCCTGGTTACGGCCCTGAATCCCCATTTAAAAAAAATCGCCATACACATCCCACAATCAATCCATTAAGAAATAGCAAAGAGTGTTCACTGCCAGGGTTTCTTTCGTACGTCCTCAATGGTTAACATTCTATTCAACAAGATTTGTTTTAACCTTCATTTTTAACCGCAATGGATATCCCTTTCCAATTGAACGCCTTAACAAACATAAGGTATTATCATGTAAGTTAATGGTTAACCAATATATTTGCTTTGGGCAGAATACTGTCTCTAATAAGGACACAGTTGAGTCCTGACCTTGTTTTATGACCACAAATAGCTATCCCTCCCACCTTCACTCTAACACATATGCCAAACAAATATGAGTGAGTTTAAATTGGTTAACCAACATACACTGTAAAGATGGCTACTAGGAGGATAATAGCTTCCTAAAGAACACTGACGCCCTACCGAAAGGTTCGCTTCGCCCTGAAGTCTAAGCGGTAAGGGAAAGCCATCTGGATGCCAAACCTACGCAATTCATTAAAAAAGCATGGCTTTCCCGACCATGTGATCAGATGCTCATTTTGGCACGATGAATCACTTGAATAGTTCTCAACCAGCATGTGCGCGTGCTAATAAAAATAAAGATTTAAAGGTGGAGTCGAGAAAAAAGCTCACTCCATATATGGTATGATCTTTTCCATATTTGGATTGTGCGGAAAACCGGCAAAAAGGCCGTCGTTTTATAACGATTTCGACATGAACATTTTTGAAGAAGAAAAGAAAAGAAAAAAAAGACAAATAAAAAAAAAAACTTTGGAAAATCGAGGAAGGATACAGGGACGATGCTAACTCGTGGGTCTGCCTCGCAGACAACAGACTCAGGGAAATACGACACTCAATGTTTGATACGTATCTTGGAAACAGATTATAAACCTACCTAGCTTTTCCATACTGAACGCACGTGCTCGAATGTATCTCCTGCGAACCAAAACCAAAGCAATCATCAAATCAACACTCACGGAGACAAACTGTCTGTGAAATGTTCAAATAGGTAAGAGTCCCTGCCGACCGCACACTTCAGTAACAGTAATGTGTTGTACATTCATTAACAGAACGATTAAAAGTCTATCGACTAGTATAAATAATTGAAGGCGGCGAATGATATATTGGTTCTAGAGGTTCTCTCAAGATAAGGGAATTTGTTTTGAGTCGGTTAATTGGAATGTCGCCAGGGTTTTTGATCAGTGATTAAACATGTGATATGATGATTTGAAATGATGGTCTTTTTCTGATGAAGAGATACGGGGTTTGAATATTTTATAAACGTTTTGAGGTATTTTTATTTTTCGGCCTTTTTTGATTAGCAAGGTTATCTTAAAAGCCTTGAAATAAAGGACAAATTAGAAATATAGGAAGCGGAATTATTCGATTCCTTACGACCAATCAGAATGCACCGTTACAGCCAAGCACAGCAGGACACATTCGTACTGTACGTTTTTAATGAAGCTCCAGAAAAATGTTATAATTTTTTCAGAACCGTTGACATCGATTATTTTTGTATCTTCACTAGTTTATTTACAATTTACAAATACGCCTTGTCAAGGACTTTCACATGGTGCATTCTGATGATCTAGATTTGTTACGAACCTTTGTTAAAAACTATTTATATCTTAAACACAAAGCCCTCAACTTGAACTAGGAGACCCCTATAGGGTATGCGCATGACAAACCTAACTTGCGATAGCCGCTGATCAATTGTACTGTGTACTCACCTTCGTTTTCGATGTAGACAGACGATGACGAGTATGAGAATGAGGATCAAGAACACACCAGCTGCCCCTACAATCCCAGCCAAGATCTCCCACGAAAAAGCTAGAAGTTATAGAATAAATATATATATATATATA